ATCCTGGAGAGGGTTAAACCAGGCTGCTCCTTGGAGGCAAGGATTCTGAGGCTTCGTCTGACATACTTTGGTCATGTTGTAAGGAGGGCCTGGTCCTTGGAGAAGGACATCATGCTTGGGAGGGTGGACGGCAGGCGCAGGAGGGGAAGGCCCTCTGGGAGGTGGATTGATTTGGTGACTGGGGCAATCGGGATGAGTGTTTCGGAGACAATGAAATTGGCACAGGACAGAACAGAGTTTAGGGCTGTTGTACATAGGGTCTCTGTGAGTCGCAAGCGACTTGATGGCACATAAGAGCAACAACAACAGCAAACAATAATATTTAGATATCTTGTGTATTTGATAATGCCTTGGTTTCACAGAAGTTAAAGCACTTTGCTACTAGTTGAAATTTCAGTATTATGAGTCTACTACCCTCTCTAAGGGAAAGTTGTGGCAGTCTGATTTTGTCAATATTTAGGAGCTTGGAAACCGTATGGGTACATTTCTATTTTGTCCTACACGGTTGCCATGTGTTGGAATTGATTTGATGGCAGTGGGTTTGGTTTTGCTTTGGTGGACTTAATATAAGGCAGTTGTGTATTGTAAATAATAAAGGCAGGGAGAGAAAAAAAAGTGGGGGGGAACAAAAAGTAATCCTAGGGGAAACATTGGTACATATTGATAATCTAGAATTAAAAGGAAAAATAAGTACTATCAAACCCCTCACTGGAATTGTTTGAAAATTGAGTTAAGGAAAGGAAAACCAGTAGTAGTGAGACTAACTAAAAGACTAGTAAATTACAGCACTTGTCTGTCAGGTTGCCGTACTGACATAACTTGGAGTTGCCATGATACTGAAAGCTGTGTCACTGGTGTGTCAAATGCCATAAGGGTTACCCATGGTGGACAGGGTTTGATAGAGCTTCTAGATTAAGACAGAGTAGGCAGCAAGATTGACATCCACTTTTTAATACAGATCTTTGAAAACCCTGTGAACACTAGAGGAATGAGTATAATTATAGTAGTATACTGGTAGGGCTCAGATTGGAAGTCAGTTGAAATAAGGGAAAACAATACTTCGTACTAGGAAGGGTGGAGGGTTGGTGAGGGAGAGGGGGGCTTATAATATACATAAAGTGTCTGTTTAGGCATTAAGTATTTAATAATAAATAATTTTAAAATACTAATGTATAATATTTAGAGAGCTCTGTTTACCTAGTGGTATGCTACAATCCCAAACCATGCCGTTTTAATCCACCAGTTGCTCTGCAGGAGAAGGATTGTCCTTCTCTGCCCATGCAATTTACTGCCTCTGAAAACCTGCTGGAGGGTCAGCTGTGAGTTGGTTTTGACTCTGCAGCACATCACAACAATAAAGGAGCCCTAGTGTACATTAGGTCCATGACTGTTAACAGAAAGAATGGTGCTTCGAATCCATTAGCTACTCCTAGGGAGAAGGTATGGCAGCCTGCTGTCATTAAGATTTACAGCCTGACGATATGCTCCACAAAAACAGTGTTCTGTGTCCTACTCTGGGGAATAGCATTTGGACTCCTAAAAGCTTATGAGAGCCCCTCTAAGATTGGTCTTTCCTTGTCTGGATAAAAAAGAAAGAGAATCAGACCTATGAAACATTTCAGAGCAGAAACCGACCACGTAAACCTCAACCTCCCCTACTCTGAACTGGATAGTGACCAGAGGAACCTAGACAGAATGGGGGGAAATGGAACAAAATGATCAGACTTTCTGGTCTAATAGAGACAGATGAAACCTCTAAGGTTTAGTCCTTAGTCACCTTTTGAACTTGGAACTAAACTCATCCCAGTGGATAAACTTGCAGCCAAACAGAAAACATGCATACTCACTCCTTAGAATAGTTCAGACAAGATCAGAAGGGCAGTATCGTTGGGAGAAAGTTGAGAAAGGGTAGAAGGAGAAATGCAAAACAGAATTACAGGTACCTTAGCGATAAGGAATTGCTCAGCCAAACCACAGGCATGCAGTTCAAACCCACTGGCTGCTCTTTGGTAGAAAGATGGGAAGTTTCTTCACTTGTAATTAATTGCCTCTGAAAGCCTGCTGAAGGGTCAGCTATGAGTTGGCTCCAACATGACGGTATATAATAACAATAACATGTTGAAGTCTGGAAACTTGCAGCTATTACCATAAAGCAAAATCTGTGTGATTAGTTGAATGGAAAACTAGTTGCTGGGGTGGTGGTTGCTGTGGTGGTGGTGGTGTTTTAGAAAACACAACAAAGATTGATAGCCTTGGAAACCTAGCAGAGTCTTCAGGAGTGGAAGGTGGCTCAGTGACATTGTTTCAATGAATATTGAGTTCCTGTAAGGGACTGACACATAAGTTTTATTATTCAACCCTAGCTATGATGATGAAAATAGTGACAGCTTCTGGCTGGGATAACTCAGCTTAGTGCTGTTCCTATGATGGTTTCCTGGTATTTTGTCTAAGAGTTTTTGAGGGTTTTTTGTTATACTTTCTTCCTTCGTAATTGGTTTTATAGCATTTTGCCTGTCTTATCTTTCTAACTAAACTGTGAGACATGGAGAACAGAAAGTCTTGCCATTTATCTTAGAATTCTCAGTGCCTTTGACCATAATGCTTGCTACATACGAAATGGTGATAGTTGAATGATTTTAAAAATAAATTTTAAGAATTTGTTGACATCAATACCTCAAAATTTGTTTGTCAAAGAAACTTTAATTTGTTACAGCTTCGTCAGTTATCCCGTGTGAACCATCCTAATATTGTAAAGCTATATGGAGCCTGCTTGAATCCAGTAAGTTTGTCACTTTCTTATTAGCTGCTGTCTACATTACAAATGACAGAAGAGATGTATATGGGTATATACTGTATGAAGCTAGTTAGATTCACTATCTTAGTTGTGTTTCTGGAACAATGTTGTATCGTTGCTTCTAGTCTTTAAGAATACAGTACATTGGAGAAGTTGTCTTAGGTGGTTTTATCCAGTAATCTCATCTTTTTATAAAGCTTTTTTTATCTTATGATAATACCTGTGGATTAGCACTGGACAAAATCCCTAAAAGATCTTATAATTATGTCTTTACATGTATTTTCACTCTTTTTAAATTTTTTTTTATTTTAATCAAAGTTTACAGAGACTTAGGGTTTCCAGTCATTCATTGTTACACTTTTCTCCCTGCCCACCCAGTCCCCCCAATTCACTCTCCCCCTTGAAAAGTAAAAGAAAAACTCTTTCATTGTTATTCAGTCCCTCCTCCCGAGTCACTCTTAGACAGTGGGTTACAAGGCAAAGTCTTATATTATAGATTTGTGTTTTGAGGGTTTTTTACCCTCTAGTGTCATTCATATAGTAAGGACTAAAGGAATTTTTGGTGTTATTTTTTAAAACAACCCAATGTAGCTATACAGTCAGGGAGTTAAGCTCTGTTGTCTCCATAATCTTTACCATTTTGTAGTTTTTAATTCTTTTAGCATACTTTTCCTTCAGGTATGTCTCGTGATGGAATATGCTGAAGGGGGCTCTTTATATAATGGTGAGTGTCATCATACTTGTCTTTATCTAGTCAGTAGGTTAAAATGATTGAAAAGTTTTTAAAAACTACCAAGGTATTTAATGTTCATCAGAATATTAGAAGATAATTTTGTAAAATCTGCTAAAGATAAAAAACATTAAAAGATACAGTCTTAGAGAATTAGTAGGTGAACTTTAGAAATCTGTCATTTTTTAAGAATTGGCTGAGCCATTTATAATGTTACAAACATTTAAGTAAAGTAAAATTTGCTTTTTAAATAGATTCTAAAATGTTCGGGTTCCTAAGAGTTGTTTGTTTTTCCCCTCTTTAGGCATTGCATTTTCTTAAATTAAAATTTACCATGTCTAGTTTTTTTTACTACTACGGAAGACATAATTCTAAATACTTTGATAGAAATGATTTTGTTTCCACCTAACATCTATCTGTTCTTATGGTAATATGCTCTCAGATTCTTGTTGTTTTATGCCACTGTGTAAAATACCATGTCTATCAATTGGACAGTGTGTAGTCATATATCTTGGATTTACTTGACTGTATGTATAATACAGTGGTAAGAAACTGCACTGCAATCTCAAAGGCACACAGTTTGAATCTGCAAGCTGCTCCATATGAGAAGGATGGATACTCTCCTCCTATGCAGTTTATATTACTGGAGGGTTAGCTGTGAATCAATTCCAACTCAGTGGGACACAACAGCATTAAATATTAGGTATTTATGTGCAATTATCACTAGAAATGACGGGTATTTCAGTGTTTTTTTTTGCCTCACTTAAACAACTCAAACTCATTGCCATCGAGTCAACCAGCTCATAGCTGACCCTCCAGCATCTTTTCAAAGGCTGTAAATTGTACAAGAGGAGGCTACCCATCTTTCTTCATTGGAGCAGTGGTGAATTAGAACTATCTTCCTTTGGGTTGGCAGTGCAACTCCTTACCTACTAGGCCACCTCATGAATTAAAAGCTGGAGAAATGTGTAGAAGAAAACTGTCATGTGTTTCTATTGTTCTTGCATCCACCTGGTGTCTTGTATTATATGCAATAAAGTTCTTTTTAGTTTGTGCCTTTCTTTTGCAGTGCTGCATGGTGCTGAACCATTACCATATTACACTGCTGCCCATGCAATGAGTTGGTGTTTACAGTGTTCCCAAGGAGTGGCTTATCTTCACAGCATGCAACCCAAAGCTCTAATTCACAGGGACCTGAAACCACCAAAGTAAGTCCAAGTAATATGACCTCTTTCTTAGAAGCAGTGCACCCTCATTCCATAATTCAAATTGATTGTTACATATCTCTTTCCTCCATCCTTTTGGCTTGCTCAAGACTGTGTTTTTAACAAGCCATCTTTTAGGAATTTATCTAAGCTTGCATGTCAGTGTTGGTTTTAGTGTGACATTTTATTTGTAGTAACTCCTACCATAAATTAACATAACTCTAGACTCTTCTAGCCCACAATTCTCTTTGTGTGCCTACAGTTTATATTGCTTTTAGATGGTTTGCTCTGTGAGACTTTTTTATTTTGTTTTCTGCTCCCAGCAAGATATGATGTTCAGACATAATAGGCATTCTATAAAGATTTACAGAGTGGTTATTCATTTTCAGAGGAGTAGTATCTTAGGTAATCAAGGTAAACATTTAAGAGACTCAGAATTTCTTCATATTGAACATTCTAGGTATTTGAAAAAAAACTTAAAATTTTCTTCTAATAGCTAAAATTTTCGTTTGTTTCTATTCTTATTGTGTTGGGTTATGGCCCAACCCATAATTGCCCTCCAGCAGATTTTCAGGGTAGTTAATCATACCTGGGGAGATTGCCCATTTGTCTCCCACAGAGCACGTGGTGGATTTGATTGAACCACTTACCGTCAGGTTACTAGTGCAACTCTTTACTACTAAGCTACCAGAGCATTCATTTAAAGGAAACATTATTTATTGTCTCATTTTCCTATTTGATCATTTTATTATCTTCTGTAACCAATTAAAAATGTCTGTCCCTACATATTTTCTCTCCAAACCATATCAGTCCCCAGGTAAGAGTTTTCCTCTAGGAAATCAGACACTAGGATAGTCTCAAGTTATTTCATTCTTTTCACACTGATTTAAAACATCCTGTCTATGTGCATTATCACTTTCTTGTTTATTTTAGTGCACTCTTAAGTTTTAATTCTTGAAATCACTGTTTCTGGTAAAGTGCTTTATTTCTGTTCCCAGGAGTGAATGAATTCCAGTTTTCCCCAGGTTTTTTTAAGATGATGTTTAAGTTCCAGATGTGCAGTACTTCTGTGTTGTCTTAACTACCATAGTGAAGAAAAAAATTCCTTGTCTTTCCCCCGATTATAGTCAGTCAGTCCTGCTGTATTAACCAACTTAAATATATATAAGCTAACTCTGGAGAATCATAAATCTTAACTAGCAAGAATTTGACAAATGACTAAAAAGATAAAGACAGGGTTGAGGAGGGGGAGATAACAGGCAAACATCAAATATAAAGAGTATATTCTTTTCTTGGAAGAGCCTGAAACCATCATACATAGCTCTGTACAATGTCCTTTTCCTCCCAAATTGGGTCATATTTTGCTTTTGGAATAATTTAATAGTTATTGGAGCAATGTATGTCTAAACATTGCTCATACAAGGAAATCACTTCAGTTTCTGTTTTAATATTTTCATAAAAGAAAGTCACTTCAGCATTTCTGTTTTATGTTCTGTGACCACCGTTCTCTTCATCCATGTCTCATAAATCTGTACACTTGAGGCTTAAGAAACCTAGACAAGCTATATCATTATTTTGTGACTAAAACTGCCTTTTTACCAGTAAATACTATTACTGTATTTATGAGAAGTCTGGTCTGAGTAATAAGTCTTCAACTATATGGACAAATCTATAGTCAAATTCATACTGTTGTATGTTCCCTTTCTTTGGAATACCTAGTATTTGTTAACTTTAGAATTAGAATTGTTTTTTCAGAAAGTACTAGGGAAAACATAATACTTTTTAATGACTCTACTCACATGTAAAAGTTTATGCCCCAATACATGTTACATCTTATTGTCCCAGTAAAATTTATGAATTCTGTGGTTGGGAAAATTCTTCAAAATGGCTTGAAAAAACTTCACCTAATAATTTGGTGATAAGTTTTATGTAATATCAAGTTGTATTTACATCCTCATTTTATTTATCTTTGGAAATTCTTTCACGCAGTTACATGAAAAGGAAAAATACGTTTTCGGTCTTAACTGTGTGAAAATAAGGCAGAAAAGATAATTTAAGTTCATACTTCAATGAACTCTAAATATCATACCATAGACTGGTGAACTAAGTCTTACAAATAGAAGAAGTTCTAGCAAAAATTTCAGAAAAATCACTGTGATAGTTTAAGTGTACCAGAATGAAATAATGAAATCATTTGTAGATATTTACAGTTGCCTTGGTAGAAAGTAGTATAAACTTGAACAAGAACATTTTTTGTTGATGTGTATATAAAGTTATTATGTATGAATTATTATATATTAAATATATAATCATATATATATCTATCTATATAAAAATTATCATGAGAGAGGCAGTTTGGTATTTCCTCAAAAAGCTGAACATAGAAATCCCATACAACCCATCTATTCCCCTGCTAGGAATGTAATCCTGGGAAATTGGAACTAAGACACAAATGGAGATATGTTCACCTGTGTTCATTGCCATGCTATTCACAATAGCAAGAAAATAGAAACAGCTCAAATGTACATCAACAAAATGAATGAGTTGAGAAACTGTGGTACATTCTCATAGTGGAATACTCTGCAGCACTAGGGATCAAGAAGTTCGTAAAATACTGTATAACATGGAAGAGACTAGAGAGGATTATGCTGAGTGAAATAAGTCTTACAAGGGCAAATACATCATAAGACCATTATTGTAAAAATAAAAGGATAAAAACTGAGGACGATGTGTTAAAAAAATGAGGGGAAGGATGGAAATCACTAGGATATGGTGGTAAGATGCAACAGAGACTTCAAGAGATGGGGTAACAGACATAAATCAATAGTAAT